TTTCAGTAGCCATAATAAAAGAAAAGAAGAAGGAAACCCAAATAGCAAAAGTATGTGAAACGAAATACCAAATTGCAAAAACTGAATAAAAACCCCCAACGAAATACCAGATTGCAAAAACGGAATGAAAAATCCTCTCGAAATTGTCTCGTCTCTAAAAAAAAAAGTTGGATCCTTGAAAGCTCTGTTTGAGATTATGTCAAATCCCATGAAACTTAGCTCTGATATCATGTTAAACAATCCAAAGAGAAAAAGAAAAGGAGGATAGGGTTTTATTGATTCTGCATAATGTAATTGGATAATGAAAACTTAAATACAAAGAGACTATATATAGTCTAAAACAAAGGAAACTTAAAAGACTATTTTACCCTTAATAAATAAAAAAACAAAATAATCATATATTTCTTAACACAACACCTTAATTGTTGGTAGCCTTCCAAGATTTCTAAAATAGTAAGCTAAAGATTACAATTTCAGATTTTTTTTATTAAGTACAGTAAAGATATGCGAAATATACGTTTATTATGCAGAGAAGGGAGAGAAATTTTGTTATTAATAGTAGTGATTTTGTGCATTATAAATAGACTTGAAGACTCCATTTTCGAAAATATATACGTCTCTTCTATAACAACCCATTTTGAAAAGACTAAAGCAGAAGATTATTATTAAATAAAATTCAACTGTCCCGAATAAATCTTTAATAGATCATTGCAATAGGCCTAGGAATTTACGGCCCAACCACCCTACTCTGCTTGAAATGGCAGATTGAGGTGGCGATGGGAAACGTGGAGAAAACTTTAATTTCATATTTCTCTGTTTTTCTAATTCATATTCCGTGTCTCATTTGTAGTCAATTCTCACAATCCCATGATTCCTCGACCCTGCTATTAATTTCACCTTTTCATTCCTCATTCCTCGCCAAGTGGCTTCCCTTTGCTCTCATTAACATTTTTTGACCAACTTTCATTATTCTCTATTTGCTCACACACAACGGAAAATTGAGGTGGTGGAGGGATGGGAAGAGAGAACTTTAAAAAGTTATTTTTCTGTTTATTTTTATTTATTTTCTTGTGTTCCATATGTCGTCAATTCTAAGCATCCCCGTGCTTCCTCAACCATGCTATTAATTTCCCCATATCCTTATTATTTCTTCGGTAATTGGCTTGCCTTTACTCTCACAAGTCAAAGCTGGCTTTAACCACAATATTTCTTCACCAGCTTTTGTCGCTACAATATATTTTGCTTCTGTTGTGGATAAAGCAACACACTTTTGTAGTTTTGACTGTCATGAAACAACCCCCCCCCCCCAACTGTAGAGAAATCCTAAAGTAGATTTTCTATTATCAAGATCTCCTACCATATATGAGTCTGTATAACCTTCCAAGATTGGATCAGCTCCCCCATAGCACAGACATATCCTTGATGCCTTGATGTACTCTTAAGATACCTGAGAATCCACTTGACTGCCTCCCAACGTTCCTTTCCAGGATTAGAGAAAAATGACTTACCATGCCTACTACATGAGCAATATCTGGTCCTGTACATACCATGGCATACATCAGGCTTCAAATTGCTAAAGAATAAGGTACCAATGACATCTTGGTGTGCTGTCGCAAGCACCCAAAAATAGTCCTTAAACCTCTAAAACTAATGTAGTAGTGGAAGTAAGGGTCGATCCCACGAAGAGTGTGTAATTCAATATTTTATGCTTCGTACAATGATTGGGGGGTTTTTGTATGCAACAATTGTA